CAAACTGTGCCTGAAATAGTTTACACAAAGGTTTTTCAGACCGATTGAATCATCAGTCTGATTAATAATTAGATTATTATTTTGAATTTAAATGTAGACAGTGACAGGCCAAATGCATGAACCTGGAACTGAAATGCCTTATCTTTCAAGACAAATATCAGTGACAGTGCCTGTCTTCCAGATTCTCTGTTACAGACCTCTTTTAAAGAAATTACACTGTTTATAGTTGTTTATACAGTAAAACAATTGCCAGTGAATTAAGAAAAAAGTAGATATTAACAATTTTTGTAATCACATTTCTTTGTCACCTTATTTCTAAGTGTGTTTTTGACCATACAATTCCATTTTTTAGGTGACCCTTCTGTACCAATCTGTATTAAACATGCCTGTAAAACTGTGCTGAAGCTTTTAGCAGGTATTTTTTTAACATTAAAATCATGATCTGAAAGGTTTCCATAGTTCTGTGGCAAGCCTGGGTGATCTAAGATTATTGTATAATATTGTACTGATTATCACAACTAGTAATATTATTCAAGACAGAATTTTCAAGTTCGTTTTTCTGAATTTTCTGAATATTAACACCACAACATGGTCTGCTTTATGAAAGTAGAATATGTTTCAACAAGTGTTAATAATATCAATAATTTTAGATTAATAATAGTGCTTTAAAAAGTAACTTGCATTTAGGTTTTACTGTTATATTTTGTACATTATTTTCAGTTAACGTCCCAAGTAAAAAGGAGCAAGAGCCCACAGAAGATGTCCTTCATGAAAAAAAAAAAAAAAAACATTCAGAAGACATATTCAGTGTTCATGGCTCAAAAAGTGGGCAGTGCGAAGACAACGATTTAGACATCAAGTTTTCTATTGGACTAACTAGACTATTTCAGTCGTTGACAGTGCTGTTAAACTGAAAGCATTTTTACAATGTATATGCTGTAAGTAGGCTGCACGTACATTAGCGCGTGCGTATGGGCGGAGAGAGTTAGACTGTCACACTGAAGCTCGACACGCTCGCGAATGTCACTGAGAAACAAACATGACTTCATGAAATACATTGTTTACTAATAGGCTACAATATTTTTTTCTCAGAAAAACACTGAAGGTAAGTTCAATGTCTCTCAACTTTTCTTTTATAACCTATTCCTTATTGCTTCGTGCTTTGTTTAATGTAGTTACGAGCTGACATTCACGTTTATGAGCTCGCATATACACACCCACACCGCGCTTTAATGATCATAGAGAAGAGAAACATGTTTTGTTCATAATTTTTTAACATTAACTGACCACATTAAAGTCGAATATGTTTATTTTGTTCATTTAAAAAGGCTGAACGGGGTCTCTGTGCTTGCTTTCATGTTCTGCATTTATATATTAACACTATCTGTTCAAATCTAATGACTAAACTGCAGGGCTGCACTTTGTTCTAAGGGAAGGTGGTTTAGTAGTAGAGAAACATGAACTTCCTCAAACGCTCTTCAACATTTGCGCACGAGCCTCGGATACTTTGCATGTTACGCTGCTGAAACTTTAAAGAAATGAATGTTACATCACAGGCCGACGTTAGTAATTGAACGGTGGGCTGGGAACTACAAGGTTGTGTCTTCAAACCTGAAGTGCTCGCCCACTGCCTGGTTTTTAATGGTTGATGCAGATAGAGCAAGGTGACTGATGGTTTGTTGCCAATGTATATAATACAATTTTTCAAGCAAAATTCAGACAAAATATCTCAATTTTATCAATTATTTCACACAATATTTATTCAAAATTCACCAAAAAAACTATATTATCCAGTGACCAGGTGGTTGTCAATAGGCGGAATGAGCACTGAAATGGCCAAAATGTGAAGGATATTGTTCAGTCAGCCTGTTATTACACAAAATAAGCCTTGTATCACTCTGAAGTGGTTTATTTTGTCATAACAACTTACTATATATTATCTCAGTTTTACTAGGGTGATTATAAAATAATTACTGTAGATGTATAGACATGAAATATTGATTTGCAGTGTAATTTTTTTATTGTGTAAAAAGGAAGTACACAGAGTGACATGAAAATGCATTTGAGGGACAGTGGTCATTAGCTTAATTATACAGACGTATTTGACTGCAGAAAGTGATTGACCAATCAGAATCAACAGTTCCAGAGCACCCTGTAATAACAGCATGTCTTTGGTAATATAGCCAATGAGACAGATACAAAATTTTAGTGCTGGGCGGTATGACCAAAAATTTATATCACGGTATTTTTCTAAATTATATCGGTTTCACGGTACATGACGGTGTATTTTTTTTTTCATGCATGACCGGGTGTCGGTATGAACCGGTATACCACCCAGCACTACAAAATTTCATAATTTACTATTTATTTTACACAAATTTCACTCAAAATCATTCCAAGAAATGCAGAACATGCATTACTGTAAACATTACGGACAACATTTCAATTAAGTTTCTGTATTCAGGTCAAAAATAAAAAATTATATGTCTGAATCAACCAGACAACATCTAGTGACCACCAACAACATTTTAAGGGTCAGAAGTAGAAATAGGTAACAGTTGCATGTTTTTATAGTGGAATGAGAAGGCATGATTATCGACCGATGCACATAATCTCTGTAGGCTTAAACATTCATATCATAGATGTATTAGGCTACACGCAGTATAGACATAATATGGATATAAAGCAGATCTATGCTAGCGTACACTCTTAAAAATAAAGGTCCTTAATTGGCATTGATGGTTCCATGAAGACTCTTTAACATCAATGCAACCATTCCATTCCACAAAATGTTATTTTTTGGCGGAAACAGTTTCTTTTAGATTAATACAATTTTCTTTACACTAAGAAAAAACGGTTCTTTTAAGAACTGTTCACTGAAACTTTCTTTATGGAACCCAAAAATTCTTTTTCTGTGGCATCAGTGCACAAACACCCTTGGAACCGTTTATGTTTAAGAGTGTACGTATATGATTATACATGTTGTACACAGTGTATTTAAACAAGATAGCACTGTATTCCGTGTATGGAAAAAGAAAGTTAGTTGCTTGATCTCATTAAGCGAGTTTGATTATTGTGCTTCAAGTTTGACATACTTACAATACATAACATCTAAACCGGGTTCACAGCAACCATCTGAAGCCCGTTGGTTGATCTCCAAAAGCTGTATTTCTGTATCCTGTTTACACTATTGCTTACATCTGTGTTGGTTACTGTCTTCCATTTAATTCTGAGCCTAGTGCTCTGTTTTATTAGGTGCCTCATGTTTACAGAGGCGATCTGAGCCGGTCACGAGATCGTTAATGTCATGACTCATGTGTCATTTGCATTCATTTGCGTTCCCCTCACTCCACGCCAAATGCAAACAGTCCTTATGCTTCTGTGCGCGAATCCACGCCTCTCCCTACTGATAAAGACCTATTGTTTCAGTCCAGGCCGGGTGTGAGGGTGTAATGATGATGTGATAGTTAAAAAAAATTAGGTTATTGTGCACTTTGTAGGATTTGAGGAAATTTCAGCCCTGCTGATCCTGGCGTCCTGTGATTTGGCTTGCAAATATCCTTATTTCTGGCCAACCCTTTGTTCCCTGTCTGAAAAACACGATTAGACCTTTGAGAACATCCAGGTTTAGATCGGCTACCCTGGAAAAGTTCCATTTATGTGTCCGTCTAGCCAGTTGTGGAGAGATTTATACATAGGCTTTTTTAAGTCTACCCATACATATAATGTACTGGCTTGTTACCAGTCAGATTAGTTATGCAGTCAATGGTTCATGGGAGTTGGAATTAGGGGTCAGGAAATCTAAACTGGGAAAGCCTCGGACCATGTTACATTTCTGAGCTTCAATTATTACTATATAAACCTTTTGGGTAATATTAATATTTGGGTAAACAGTAATATTGACTATACTGCTACATCTCTGATTTTGATTTGAGAGTCAAATTTAGATAACCAAACCTTTTTTAGTTCTTGTAGTCTAAAGCAACATTTCTTTAGCTAGTCTGAACCTTAAGAAGTTTGTGCTCATTATACAACTGGTTGTTTATGAAAATTTTGACGCAGTCGACCCGAGTTCAAATCCAACCTTTGCCGAATTCATTATTCTCCCTTTTCCCATTGCATACCAGAACGGAAAGGCATTTATTTTCAAGAAAAAATGAAGGAAATATTCGAAAAGTGGAAATAAAGCACCTCACGGGTATTTCATAGCAGTGTTTATCAGGTAGGGTTGGGTTAGGTGTAGGGAGGGCTTTATTGTCCCAGTATAAGGCGGCATCCATTTAATAATTTGAATAAATATGATAATTTACATTCAATAGTATACTGTTTTATAATGTACTACAATAGTAATACTTCTATTTACACTTATGTCAAAGAAAATGCTGCTATTATTTTTAAATATTGAGTAAATTTGCACTTAGTGTAAAAATAGCATATCACTAAGAAAATACTGAATTTTCACTTAGTGTAAATAGAATCCATTTCTATTTGTACTTAGTGTAAATAGCATCTATAGTGCAAATAGCCGCTGCCTTTTTTTTCTTTATCATGATATCAGGAGAGTTGAAACACTCTAGATTTTTAAACTTCATGCCCGCCGCCCCCCCAAAAAATATATATATAAATGAATTTTAATTCCGAAATTTAAAAAATGCTCATCATAGAAGAGGTATATTCAAGTCATTTTATATATGAATTGAAAGAATTAATATTTAGATGAAAAAAGAGCACTGACCCATCATTCATATTGTGTCTGTAACAAGCAACACTAATAATTATGTTGATATTTATATACTTTTTTTGTGGTTGTTGTGATTCTATTTGCATATTTATATACTGTATGTAGCACATTTTCACTGTGTAGCCTAATAATTTCAAGAGGTAACCATTTTATGATCCTAATGCTTAGTTATGCCAGCTGTTCATGTTAAAATCCTGTATTCAGTGCTGACCAGTGTTAAATGTCTGAAATTGGTCATAAAATCTGGTTACTGTTTATAATGCACAAAGTATAATAAAGCTCAGTGTTTATAGCTTTGTGCCCTGTATATCTGATCACCCGCAGTGCTGACACAGATACAAGCAAATCAGCAAAGCTGTGAAAACAATAGAGCCTTAAGCAATATCCTCCTTACCTTACAGGCCATGCCTCAAGAATCAAGACTCTTACGTACTTACTTACGGCTGCGATTGTTTGCTTACTTTGTGGGCTGGGACATTGAGGACCAGGCTGTCTTAGGAAAGATTTCATGATTAATTGCAAATCCGTCTTTTCTTATATTATTTTTAACTGCAAGGAGCCAGTCAGTACGGAAAACTTGAAGCCTCTAGTTGCTGTGTTGGTTCGTAGCAGTTAGTGTCACTGAGGTATGTACAACTCATTTCTCATCTCGATTAGCAAGCCAAATATGGGATCTTGAGTTCTGTTGACGTCAATGAAGAAGCTTTCAACATCAAATAATGTCTGTATAGACTAATCAAAAGCTGCAATGATTCTCCTTAGCTGTGTGATGCTTTAACATTTGAGATGTTTTTTAAGTAGGAACTCTTTCTTCTTTCAACGGTTCCTCATCGGCGTGAGATATGGCAAAGAAACATGTTTGTTTAGTGGCTCTGCCATCAGATTAACGGGAAATAGGCTGTGAGCATCATCTGTTGAATTTGAATATCTTACAGAGTCTGTTTTATAACATTCAGTGGCGTGTGGGCATGTGATCTGTCATTTCTGGAACGATTGAGCCTCACACAGCGCTTGCCATGTGTTTAATGCATGTATAAATAGCTTTAAACGCTCACTTATTCCATTTCCCTCATAAACATTCTTTCCATCTTTGTTTACGTTCACTTTAGCACTCTGTTTCCTTTGCTTGTGCACTTTCTTCATGTCTTTCACTTTCAGTATCAGTCACTGACAGACCCCTGACACCTACTCATGTTCTATTTATTCTTCCTGCACTAGACGCCTGGAGTCATTTTCGGCTGGATATGCATCGACTTTAATGTCTAATGAACAGCAGAGCGGTTTACAAGGTAAGGAAAATGCCATGCTGTCTGGAAAAAAAGTGCCTTTAAGAGTGCAACAGCTTGTCACTGGGGAAGTACGCTTGAAAGGACAACTTTATCTACCTCTAAATAGTGCATATCAGTACTTTAGAGTACTAGTATGAACACTCGGGGCACTACTATGCAACTTTTAGGGGTAAATAAGGTACAAAGTTGTTCTTTTAAGATTTCTGAACAAGTGAAAAGTGTCTGTACCCCGAAAGGTATAACTTTTCTGAGAGAGTAAAAGGTTTGAGTTCTGAACACAAAATTGGTCAAAGTGGTGTATACAGTTCATGTTAGGGTTAGGGTTGTATTTCACTCCAAAATAAGAATGAAAAAAATAAGAAATTATATTTGCATAAAGAAAATGAAGCCATCACGCAGGTGCTAAGGTGTTGTGGGTGGTTGCTAGGGTATTGCTATGGTATTTCAGGTGGCTGCTTTTTCCTGCATGTTTCTATATGTTGGTTGCACCACATGACTTTGATTTGTTTTGTAGTTTTTCATATATTAATATGCAGTGAAGCTTACTTTTTTTCTAAATAATAATAATAATGCATTATGCATTAACTAATTCTTCAGGTTTTATATTTATTTATTTATTTATTTATTTTTCGTGATGTCATCAGTTGGAACACCCTGGAAATTATATGCCTCCAAAAATATCTAAATGAATTTTATTTCAGAAACTGAAAATATGTTCATGATAGAATAGATGTTTTCAAGTCATTGAATTAAATAAATGAATATATCTAGGCAAAAAAAACAGGACTAACCCACCATTCATATTATGTCTTTAGCAAGCAGTACAAATAATTATGTTCATATGACTTTAATATGCTCATATGTTTTTATATTTTTATGTAGCAGATCTATCTATCATTTTCATGACAATTATCCCCGGACTTTTGGGTGAAATGAGACCCGGTCATGATTTTGTAACATTCACTCATATAGATTAACAGCTTTTATGGCCCCTGAGGCTATTGACAGCTTTATTTGAATAGAGCACTGCTGTATGAAAAGGAAAAGTATTACATTTTGCATGTGTTTTCCCTCCTTTGTTTACTACCAACATCCTGTCACTAAGCAGAACTCCAACTTCTCTAAATTTTGTGTGATTATATATGCTGCATCATTCAGATACGGTCCGACTGAAACGTTGCAATTGTGTCAGGAGGAAACTTGAGTCTCTTTCTAATGAGCTGCTTTAGAGTTGCATCTCTTGCATCAGCAGCTTTGAATTCTACCAAGAACAGGAACATCACATGACTTCATTTCCTGTTTGATAATGTGCACAGCGCTCACAGTTGAAGCTACCTTTACATATTCTTATTTTAATAGTGCACTATGATTATGTTGATTTAATCATTTTTGCGACATCTTGAGACATTCATATTGCAATTTGTATGATTGTAATTGTTATGTATTTTTTATATTTACCTTAAATAATAGATGAATTCGACGGCAGACGAGACCAGAGGTGGAAGACCTCAAAAAACCGGGGGCAAAGACCACAAAAAGGTGTGTAAAATATTGAACAATGTTTTATCTGTATGTATCAGTGATAAACTGATGAATTGATTTAGTTTATTTACACTTCTAATTGTATTTATTACTGGCTGAAGCTCAAGAATTATTTAGGCTACACATGGATGAGTTAATAAACTAAAGAAGTTGGACAACTCTCTGCACAGATGCATAATGCACAAGAAATAATGTATTGCTAATGTAAATAAAGTTCTGAGTTGCATTTTAAGTATTAATGTAAGTAACCAAAATTCCTCAGAAACATAAAATAATAGCAAATGAGACAATTGTTGACATACAGTAAGAATATAAAGCTTTAAAATGAATGATAGTGTTGCATAGCTCTTCTGAAACTCATGTGAGATACATGAGGTCTTATTCTAAGGAGGAAAATCTGAGAAGTAGGAGTCTACGGCAAGCGTCTCTGTATTTAATTTCATTGTTTAGGAGAAATGATTTGTCATTTTCTGTCGGTTTCTTGGCTTTGGTGTGCAATAGATTATTTTTTGCTCAACCCAACATATTTTTCTGTGGCACAATGTAACGTTTGCGCTGTGAGCTCTTTTGGGATTTAGTGGGATTTGATTTTTGCATATCCCACTCTGATTTGTCATACTTGTTTGTCTGAAATGCTGTTTTCCTGCTGACTGTTACATAACGGTGACCACACTATAGCCATGTGCCATGCCATGTGGACCATAGAGGCTCATGATATTAGATTAGCATATTCGCATTGTGGATGTTTGCCCATAAAATGGCTTGTGGGGTTTAGAGACAATTTTGTCATTTCCTGTATATAAATAGCTGGAACAAAAGATGACAGAAATAATTGGGCAATAGGTTTAAGAGAAAAAAGACACAATGTGATACATTGTAGCATAAATCTCACAAACAGTGTTTAAGAATACTTCCAGAATATGGATATGTTCATAATTTATGTATGCATATGCATATAACATATCCATATGTTCACCCCCAAATCAAAAGAATTAGAAAAATTTGAAATGCATAAAGATTATTTTCATATTAAGCAGCCACTCCACCACATTGCTTTTAATTATCATAATACCACAAAATATCTCATTTATATATGAATATATAAATCTTATATAATGTATTAATATATAATATATTTTAGATATAAATATTAACATGCAGTGGGTATAGAAAAGAATCAGCCCCTTTAAAATAATCACATTTTGTTGCTTTGCAGCCTGAAATGAAGACGGACACAGTTTTTGTTTTATTCAGCTGTATTTACTCAGTGCAACTTATAACATCCAAGTGAAAGATAATAACACCAATAAATAATGTAATTAAAAAAAAGAACAAAAACTGAATCACTTGGAAAAAGGATCACCCCCTGCTCAACATGACTTGTAAACTCAATCAGGTGCAGATCTCCAGGATTAAGTTGTGGACAGGCACAAGTCAAGAGATGGATTCAAACAATTCCAAAGGCTTTATCAATGCCTAGAAGCTCAGTGAAGTCTGTTATTAAGAAGTGGAAGGTATTTGGTAAAGCACAGACCCTCCCTGGATCAGGACGTCGCTCCAAACTGGATGAAAGAGCCGGAGGAAACGGCTCAGAGAGGCGACCAAGAGCCGACAGCAACTCTGAAGCAGCTGCAGAAATTTATGATAAAGAGTGATCATTGTGTGCATGTGACAACAATATCACAAATTCTCCACAAATGTGGCTTGTATGGGGAGGGTTGCAAGAAAAAAGCTGCTCCTCAAGAAACGCCACACGCAGTCACGACCGAGCTTTGCCAAAACACACCTTGAAGATTCTGAGGCAGATGAGACTAAAGTTGAATTATTTGGTCTCAACACCAAACGGTATGTCTGGCAGAAATCCAATACAGCTCAGCATCCAAATAACAGCATTCCTGCAGTAAAGCATGGAGG